GAGGCTCCGGTCCCCCCGAGAAGAGGATGGGGACGGGGACGGGACGGGGATGGGCGCTGGGAAGCGTTCGGGCGGCCGCACGACGGTGCCCGCGGTCCTTCACCTTCGCGCAGCTTCGGGGCGGGGATTGTCTTTCCTTGTTTCGTTTCTGCTCTTTTCGCTGTGTTTTCGTGCCAGACACGCTTACGGAGAGGAGCGGGCAGTAGCGGCGGGATGTCTGTTGCGATGCGAGCTGCCCGAACGTTGTTCCCTTTCAGAGCCCGACTGACTTGTCATCCTTACGAAGCCTTACGAGTATTTTGGTCGTACTTTGTGGCTTTCGTGACACCTCGCTCAGAAATAAAATCGCTCAGCCCAAGAAATTTCTCTTTTTGTCGTTGCTGTTTAAATCCAACTGGAAAAGTATGCGTGTGTCCATTTCGTTTCGGGCAGGCTGGCGTGTACTTCTTGCATTAGTTAACTAATCAGCTGTACAGACCGAGCAGGGGGCTGCAACAGGCACACTGCGACGGGATGTACGTGTATAAAACGCATCCCTGCTTGTGGCAAAAGTCTTCTCACATGCTGGGGGGGTTTGTCTAAGACACAGCATGTTTTAAGGCAGAGCAATGAAGACTCTCACTGCTCTGAGACATACCCATTTAGCTCCAGTTTTATTCATAAGATTTCCATTACACCCACTTCACCAGCTGAATATTCTTTGTCACGTTGACACTACAAATTAAGCCAAACCTACATTTTCCTGCAATACGAGAGCCTTAGTTCTGTAGCGCTGGGCACGAATGATGTGCAGTGTTCATAGCTGGTAGCACATACATATCGATACCCTCAATATGTTGATGATAGCTCACATGTATGAAAATGATGATTGACAAACCAGAGCAGGAAACACCGAGAGCTCTGCACCTGCAGATGACCCGGGAGAGATCTCACTGGTACCTGACAGAGCCCGCACCCTCACATCTGGTTGCTGCGGTAGATTCCCAGTCCGACTGATGCCCTCGAGGAGCCCGAGACACTTTAACACAAACTGAAGTGTGTTTATGCTGTGATTGCGTGAAGCTGTTTCTCCCCCAGAGACCCTGGCTGTACTTTCTGTGCAGGTACTACCAGCATAGGCAACAGCGCGGCCGTCTCTGCAGGTTTCAGTGGCTGCGTAGCATTTTTAAGGGTGACATCTGTGTTTAGAGGAAGCTGCCGAGTGGGGCTTTTCAGTTCTTACAGTCTGCAGCGGCGTGCGTGCATTTGGGCTCTCCCTAACGCTGCTCACACGGGGAATAAAGGTCAGTTCAGGGCAAGGCTCCTACTTGTACAGCGTCTCGCTGGCTCTTCAGCAGGGCTTTTCCTTGCTTATTCTGGGTGACAGATCAGCACTGGTTCAGTGACACAGGACCTGAGGCTCGTTATATCCTTGCTCTCTATCTGGCTTTCACCAACCTATCCAATAATCTTTGAATTTTTTTTTTTTCTCCACGTCTCACTCTTTTCTACAGGCATCGCATCTTGTATCAAAACTGTCTCTCAGTGGGTGCTCCTGTTGCACCGGAGTTACTTGTAGAGGTACCAGATGCTGTCTGACAGGTAGCTGTAGCATCTCAATCTCAACAGGCTTCCTCCAAAGAACTGAGACTTAAGATGACTTTTCTTAGAAGACATTGCTCCAAAAACAGTGACCTCGTGTGATGTTTTCACAGAACCCGATTACAATAATTCATGTCTACTCATAATTACTGCTGCTGCTGAAGAGTTATTATAAAGGTGAGTAAAGCTGAAAATGTGCTGTGTAAATGGGACTGAACTTTGTTCAGTAAGAAATAAATAGTGGTGAAGCCTACATCACCACCCAGCACGCGGAAAGGAGCTGTAAAGAGCATCCCAGGGGCATTTGGCTCCCAGATCTACTGCAGGATCACACATACCTTGGCCATTCTTGACAAATATTTTCAACTTATCTTTAATAAATTCCAGTGACAGAGTTGAGACAGGTTCTCTAGTCAAGCTGTTTTAATGTTTAACCGTTTGTTGTTCTTTTGTCTCCAAACAGCGTATCAGAACAGCCCTGCATGAAAAACAGACATTTCTTTTTCTGTCCTCAGCGGCGTTTGCTGTGTTCTTCTATGAGCCGTATTTGTAGTTGAGGACTTGTCAAGGTTTCTCTGATGGCTGAAACAAACCTAATATGATTCACAAGTCACTTTTTATATTATTTTCCATCTGTTTACAGCCTTCTTAAAACATAAAAGCCACAAAGTGGAGACAATATCCTGAGGATTCAGTAGTGTTAAGAATAAAATCATTGCCTCTTGTGTCTTTCATACAACACTCCTTTCAATCACCCTTGAACGTCGCTTGTTTCCTTCATCACCACATCATGCTGTTGATTCATACTCTGCTTCTGGCTCTCTAAAATCTC